CACAACAGTGAACTAAACGGAAAAAGCATAAAAGAATTGAAAGTGATTTTGGAAAACAATCCTTCACTGATCAAGACAATTCTTTATTATGGTGTCAAACTAAGAGGTATTTATTATTGTTCTGTAAAAATTGTTTTAATAATGTAGAGAGTGTGCAACTGCAAACTAACCGGGAGTTATGGTTGATTTCACAATGATTCAAGATCACTTACAGTACTTTAACTAAATATCAGGTAATATAATGAGGGCAATAGAAGAGTCAATAAACAATCTAGAAGTGGGCAATCCAGTAAATGTATTTCTGTAATGGTTAAATATTATTGGTACAATAAATACAAAGTTGTACCTTTTATTTGAAATTATGAGCATGAGCTATTACTACAGTAGATTAATAAGGTATTATGATAGAGAGACCTGGATCTGGGAAAAATTTACTTTTTCATTTTGATTTTCCCAGGTGCTAAAAACACCATCTGGCCAAATCATTCCTATATAAATATAAATGTATATTTATGCTGAACATAATTGACAAATAGGCCTACATACTGGGTCTCTTTAGAGTAACTCAAGAAAAAATGATTTAATTTTTGTACATGTCTGCAAACCAGCACTTATTGGAACATGGGGTTGGGATGAATTGGTACTGGTAGGCCTATTTCTCGTTTTGAAGCCTCAAAAGACAAAATTTCCCAATTTCTCTTTTAACCATACAGCAGAATATAAAAAAAACAAATAATGTGGTATTTTGAACTGATTTTACAACAATTAATTACTTACAGAAAAATTACATTATTGTTAACTTAATTAATAAAAAAAAAATGGAGGACAAGTGAACATTTACAGTTTGCCTTGTTGTGGATATATTTTAATAAAACTTGATATCAAGCTATTAACACTTTACAAAAAAAAACATTTTATTACCATCCTATACAAGAAACTTAGTCTTTAAACTTACTTGTTAAAACAACATGCTATTAAAATAGGGAATAAATACGTCAGTTTTAAGGATATTAAAGGGATGAATCAATAAGGTAAACGGAAATTCCCTGAATGTCAAATTTGTTCAGATGTGGTATTCATATAAACATAACTTTGTTTTAAGAAAAATCCTATGTATTATATATATTTATTTGAATTGGAAGGAATTTAATACCGTAACTGTATATTGGTAATTTTGCATCCATACTAATATTAAAATAAACATTAAAAACAAATGTCTCAACAGGAACTAAATCATATTGGAGGGCAAGACTCTCTGAACTAATTGATATGGAGGAACAGCTAGGTCTGCCCACTTTATTTGTCACACTAAGTGCTGCAGATTTGCACTGGCCCGATCTTATGAGGCTTTTCCTGCCAAATACTTCTGAGGAAGACTTAAACAATGTCCCAGAAAAAGAGAGAAGAGAGCTCTTAGCGAATAACCCGATCACACCAAGCTGGTTTTTCTACGAAAGGACTGAATTCTTTTTAAATAAAGTCCTGAAAGACAAATTGGGTGTTGTTGACTACTGGCGGAGATATGAATGGCAGCACAGGGGAAGTCCCCACATTCATATGCTTCTGTGGCTCAGAGATGCACCGAAGATAAGCAAGTTGTCTGAAATGACTGAAGACCACAAAACACATGTGATTCAGTACGTATGATGATTATTATTACAAAAATTACGCTAATTAGCATGGTAAATCCTATAGCTTAACCAAGTAAAATAAAATATTTTATGTTACGAGGCATATCTGAGTAGTGTAAATTGTTTAATTTTGATTGAAATAATTTATTGTGTTTGTATGTTCAATCCAAACGAAAGCAAATTGAGTAAAGCTAATAATATATATGATATTATAAATATTAATAATATATAAATATTGGGCCTATATAGAAATATATATATATATATATATATACATGCTGTCAAGTAAGTAAACAGCCAAACTCTGGGAAATGGTTCTATGGGTAAAAAAAAGAGATAATCATGGATAAAATCTTTTCCAAAATCGTTTCGTTAACCAGATATCCGCCATTTTGTATTTTTTACATAAACATTTTTATTATTAAATTTTTTCAAATTTTTTATTTTTAGTTTTCAAATGGGGCAAACCTGACTAGCTTCTGCCTTATTCCACCCCATTTAACAACTAAAAATCTTAATTTTTCAGAACATTGGTCTTGTCTACCTTAACCTACATACCAAGTTTTATAAAGATTGGTTTAAAAAATAAAAATGTTTATGTAAAAAATACAAAATGGCGGATATCTGGCTAACGAAGCGATAAAAAAAATGTTATTCTTGATTTTCTCTTTATTTTGGCCCATAGGAACCAATTCCCGGAGTTTGGCTGTTTACTTACAGGACACCCTGTATATGTAATTTGAATCAGTAAATGATTTAGTGTAGAATTTATACAATATAATTTCAATCCATCCCTCTAATTTGATCATAAAACTACATTTTTACCTCAACTATAATTGCCAAAAACCACTTAAGTTAATAATGTTTTGTATATTACACAATCAAATATAATCATTTTGTCAATGTAACACAATTCATTATGCTTTTTAAAGGTATTTTGATAGTTTGATATCTACAACCAATCCTGATCCCACCATTCCTCCTCCACCAATTCATCCATGCAGGAAGAGACCAAGTGAAGTAGACAACGTGGAAAGAGATGTTGCAGAATTGGTCAATAAAGTAATGTATATTTTTGTTAAAGTGTCATATTTGCCAATTCTCATAATGTTATGGATAAACTTTGATACATAATTCAATTATAAGTCATAATGGTTCTAAATAAACAGTGGCTGTTAATTATAGGCCTACAAATGCTTGTATTAAATCGGTTTTGACACACCAACAATTGTGTCACAGCTACAATTGAAAACTAGATGACAATGGGTTGGGATATAATCAAAACCAGTTATTGTATACGCACATTGCACAATTATGTATTTTCCAGAAATTCATCAAACATTGTCTAAAACAAGTTGGGTATTTACTCAGGGGAGGTATAGAAGAGGCTACGATGACAGCTGAGGGCTTCTTATTAGCTGAGGGAACGCCATTACCGTAACAAAACGATCGATTGCCATCTGCTTCGGTAGTCTAATGGTTAGCGTGCCGGGCTGATATACTGTAGGTCCCGGGTTCGAATCCCGCCGGTGGCAATAACTTTTTGTCCCAGATTTTTTTTTATTTTCAGCAAGTTTGGTTGGTTTGGTTTGGTTATTACAGTTTAATTTTTTTATTAAGTCATTATAAAATTTTAATTGAGCAATTTTTATTTTTATTTTATAAACAGAATTATTTTTCCGATTACTATAAACTTTTGTTATATTATTTCTTTATCAGCAAGTTTGGTTAGTTCGGTTAGGTTATGATAGTTTAATTTTATAATTAAAAATTAATAAAATTGAATTTTAGGCATTTATAATTTTATTTTATGAACAGAACTATTTTTGGGATTAGTAAACCTTCATTGCCAAAGTGCTTTTTACTACAGCGCTGTTCACGGAGGAATTTTGAACTAAATGCCTCATTTGTACCTCCCCTAAGTCAGACCCAACAAGTTGAAGGTTGTTTTTTAAGCTACCTTTCTGGTTATTTAATAAATGTTTATGAAAGTGTGTGACACCAGCTGTGTGGGTTTTACTATTAATTTGAGTTGTGGTGTTGTGGGGAAAACATATGGGCAACACTAACTGATGTGCATTTAAACTCTTCTATAAATATCAATTTAAAAAATTTCCTTTAAGTAAAAATACATGTTTTAACAGGTACAACGACACACCAAGTGTTCAGAAAATTATTGTCTGCGTAAAAACAAAAAAACCAAAAAATTGGAGTGCAGATATCATTTCCCTTTTCCATTGGCAGATGAAACGGACCTTGTATTGAATGACAAGGGTCAGTTAAATCTCATCACAAAAAGGAATGACCAATTGATCAATAAATACAACCCATGGGTGTTGCAGCATTGGAGGGCCAACATGGATATTAGTCCTGTTTTAACAAAGGAAGCATTCCTAAATTACATTGCTAAGTACGCAAGTAAAGCTGAGGTAAGAACTCAATTCCATCCTATGAAAATAATTTAAAATAACTGTGTCAAGTCAAACTTGCAAAGAAACTTTCAAATTCTCTGATCTTTTTTTTTTGAAGGGAGGGGGGCATCAAAACAAAAAAGTAAATCAATCCTGTGTCTAGATTTTAAGACACCATAAGGTAATACCTTTTTCCCTGTAGGTAAAATTTGCTAATTGTCATTTAAGAATCAAAATTGTAATTATCAAGTCAAATGCAAATAATAAAACCCTACAGTTTTAGTAACGTATACAGTGTCATGTCCCCATTTAGACAAATATGATATTTAATTGTATAAGGTTAAGTTGGATTTGAACCAAATTTATAAATAACTTATACAAATGATGACTAACAAAATATTATGTTCTTATAGAAGTTCGATTAACTTACTAGAATAGAATCATCATATGATTCTAAAGAAACATAACGTATCAAATTTTTTGTTTAGATTTTCTATTAATTAGAAGACAATTATTTTATCATTCTGGTCGCCATTTCAGATTAAAGTATTAATTTAAATTAAACATGACCCATTTTAATACATCTGCCATACACTTCATGTGCACTCGTGAGACTTAGGCTAACAATATTATCCTTATATATAATACGTGAAGGCGATTTCTACAAAACACTACTCCTCCGTTAATAATGGACGGATTTTTACAAACGACGTGTCAAAATAAAGTTTTTTGTGTAGACGCCCCCTTTCACCAATGATGTAATAAAAATCCTCGGACTTGGCCCCATAGGCCATCAAAGTTGGAGTTTCTCCCATAAGATTAACATGGGGGAATCTACATATTTGATTGGAAACTTTGTCCCACTAATTTGAGAGAATGGCTGGGCGTAGAAACTTGTTTATTCAAATCTATGAAACTGGTCACTGGATAAAGAAAGAAAATAAAATAACATTTATGATGACAAATAACTTTAGTACCAAATAAAACAACCTTATTATTAGTTATTACAATAGTTTATTAGACAAATATAATGCCAAAATAATGCTCATTTTCCTTTTATTACAAATTATTAGTTTTATGCTTACTTATGTTGAAATACAAATCCAAAAATAAGTGTGATAAATCTTTAAGGACAATTCTAATTGCTTGGACTTTCTTTGCTGTAGACTAAATCAAAAACAATGACAGAAGTTTTTAATGAAAGCATCAAGGATTTAGATGAATTAGACCCTGCCCGTAAAGCTATTCAGAAATTATTGATACACACTTGTGGAGAAAGAGACATTTCTTCGCAAGAGGTCATCCACTTGGCAACTGGAAAAAAGCTGATGTCATCTTCACGAGCATTTGTAAAGATTAACTTTCGGAAGGAATGGGTTTTGGTGGAGCAGTCTGAAAACAATCAAGGAGCATCTGAGTCTTTTGTGGTAATTATTAAAAAAATAAATAACAAGTTAGGTAAATAATAGTATATTTTATCACTAGAGGGTAAAGTGACTGTTTTTCTACCCAAGCTCAAGGTTCACAATAGAGGCAAAGCCGAGATCAAATAATGAAAAAGGGTTGACAAGACACTTTTGCCCGTGTAATAAGCTAAAATTTGTTCATATTTAATAACTAATTAACAAACTAAGCTACAAAACAAAAACAATTTTCTTTTAAAGATAACATGTCAAAACTTATACCAGCTTATTTTCAGTTTTCCTAATGTAAATAAGTAGCTGTTTTAATTAGGGATTCAATCATTTCTTCTATTATGGTTGTGTTCCTTACCATCAATGTGAAACTATTGACAGAAATGCAACAAAAAGCTAAAACCTAACATAATAAAACAATCAATAAATTATTTTTATCCATGCAATTGTTACAAAAAAAAGTCTAAAACAGTTGATTTTTACTCCCTAGGGACCTTTAGAACTTTGGGAACTTTAGACCTGCAATGCATATATAAAAAAAAATCCTTTTTTTTCTGCAAGTATGACAAAAATTAAAAATTATCTTACCCTTGGTGGTAAAATAACTTCTTCTATGCAATTAATTCAATTATTAATAGTTAATTGCCCAAAAATATTCATTTTGAAAAAGATCTATGAATGACTTTTTATTGATAAGGTTTTTAAATTAAAATCTGTAACATAGCCTATAGACTAGCCTATAGATGTAACATAACCTATAAGTTCCATTGAAAATTATTTGTTATAGGTTTTCTTTATTTAAATGGAGCCACATTTATTACATTAGTTAGTTCAACATTTTCCCATTTGTATCATAAGGATATAATTATTATTATCAAAGCTCAGTTCATTACAGTAATTAATAATTTGCATGTGTAACTGTACAGGACAATAACGAAAATACACTAGATGGCAACACTGACAAAACCTCTTTAATAGAGAAGTATAAAAAAAGACCTGACAACATGGAAGATATGTGCTTATGGGATGCAGCAAGGCTGTACAACCCTAAGCCACGGAACAAATGGGTCCGTAGGAGAGTAGCTGCGATTGTTTCTGTATACCCAAGACTTCGCTTCAGCAGCACAAGACCAGAGGGAAATGAAAAGTTTTATGAGCAACAGGTGTTGTTGAGAATTCCTTGGAGATGTGCTGAGGATGCTAAAGGTAGGCTTGAAACAAATTTGGTTTTAGTATATCTAAAAACAGCCTCACTTTCATAAGCATTGTATTTAAATGTCTATATTCATGTATAAGTTAAAATTTTTTGTTCAAATGTTACCCCACATAAGATTTCAAAGCTGATTTCTGATAAACACTAATATTCAGCTTAAACTCTTATGATTTAATTAGGTCTTTGTAACAACCATTTCATTGAATCCAACTCTTTTACTTTATGATACTAATAATTGTCAATGAATATTTCATTTGTCTTTCTTAACAGTAATGTGCTAATGATTTTATTTCAAATTCAAACAAAAATATGTACTTTTGATTATCTGTCAATTATTCATTTTTATATCACAATTAATTAATTAGTTTTATTTATTAAAGTAAATTGACATACATCAACAAACAGGTGTACACGAGTCTTGGGAAGAGGTGTACCATAATCACAATCTTCAAGTTACTGATGGTACAACAATTGGTGAAGATTCTGATAACGAATATGAACCAATTCAAATGGAAGAGCCCAATTTACCTGAGGAGTGGATGGTAGTCGCTGGAAAAGGGCCAACAGATAATGTTGCTGTTGTGGAACCTGGACATCGGGATGTTGATTTACAACATGATTGGTTTTCATCTAGCCTTGATTATGGGGACCATCAACACCTGCTTACTTTCTTGTCCAGCCACAAAGACCAGTCACCCATTGCAGATCTGCAAAATTCTGACCATTTCGTAAACCTGACTAATTCACAACAAAAGGTAAAATATTTAAATATGTTTCAACATTCATAATTACTTAATAAATTATTATATTGTAATACTTCAAACAACATAGCCATGAATAAACATTATAGCCAGTTCAAATTCCTAAATAACTGTAGGCCAAAACACATTTCACTAAGGCCAGTTAGGTCCATACGTATGGCGGCAGGCGCCAAACATTTCAAGTTATTTGGAGTTAAATGGGAGCAATTATGCTTAAATTGTACAGAATTAAAGAATGTTTGTATATCAGAATACAAATAGTTTAGCATAAACACATTCCAATTATCCTATTTATAGATTGTTTTACAAACGTGATTAGGCTTTGTGGAACCAAAACATTCCTCTCAAAACTATTATATCACAGCAAAACACCCATATTCCTCTGTTTTTACACATTGACTTAAAGAATCACAATATATAATTAGTAAAACTTCACACCAATTAAACATTATTTTCATTTTTTCATGACACAACCTCTAAGCTTTTTATATCAATATTGAATTAAAAGCAGCATAAAACAAGCTTAAACAACTTTGTTAAAGGTCATGGACATACTCGAAGATCAGATAGTGGCTGAAATAAACTTTTCACAAGATGTCCCCTCTACCCAACTAACAATTGTCCAAGGAAAAGCTGGATGTGGAAAAAGCACATTGATACAAACTATGACAGCAAAACTGACAGAGACACTAACAAGCGAATCTTTCTTGCTCCTTGCTCCAACGGGATCTGCAGCCCTAAACATAAATGGAACAACTATCCACTCTGCTTTGAGCATTCCAATTCGGCCTTCTCACTTCAAGCCATTGGAGGGAGAATCAAGACACAACTTTATCAACATGATGAGCCCAATCCGTTTCATCATTATAGATGAATACTCTATGATTGGGTTATCATTGTTGGGAATGGTAGAGCAGCGCTGTAGAGAGGCCAACCCACACAATTCAAAGAAGGTGACAACAATTTAATTTAAACATGTATTACAATTAGACTATATAATGATTCAGCACCAGCTGATATGTATGGCATAACATTTAAAAAATAAATTACTGTATAGAGTAATTACTTTTTTAAATGTTATGGGTTTATTAGGTTGATCAACATTAAACCTTCTTAGGCTTATAAGAAAAGTCAAACATTTATTTTCCAAGACAAGATCAATTCAGTTAAAACTAAATTGAAATATATGACTGTATTTATCTTATTTGTTTACATTTATATTTAATAATATTGTGACTGTGACCATGACCTAAGAGTCGAAGAATTATTCATTAAAAATAATTAGAAAAAGGATACTATCGTTAATTTTTCCTAATAATATTAATTACAGTAGCTCTACATAATATGAACAATATAAAATTCTACTTTATAAAGAATGTTTTGTGTAAATAAAATACTTTTATATCTAGAAAATTTTGTTAAATTTGGTTGTACATTGTTAATAGTATGCTGTAAGTAAAGAAAAATTCCTCTAAATATTTTGCTATGGTAAGATAAGATTAAATACAAAAGATTAACAGCACCTGTTCCTATAACTCATTTTGATTTGATGCGATGCAATCAAGGTGAGTTCAAATATAAACCAAAGAATTTCTAATATAAACCAACAGTAGTGCTACGGTTGACTTATTTTCTGGCATCCACCACTAGGAGTGCTGTGTAATTACAGAGCACACCAATGTAGTGTTGGGAGTAGCCGACAACAGCAGCCAATCAAACATTGAGCACACACTAGCAGCACAACGCGGAACCTACCTATATTTATTCTATTTGTAGTTTTAACTATGGTTGAACACATCCTGAGATGCTGACCATGACAATCTATTTATATGGGAATATGTGATAACTCAAAAGTTGACCCATATCTAATCAATTACAATTATAATAAAATGAGGAAATAAAATTGATGTTTGAAACCATACCTAAAATAATTGCCACAGCATGTTGTAGGCTTTGCCAAATATCCTACTTAAAATTACTTTATTTTTTATGTTTAATAAGTTACAAGTTACACATCCACAAAAAAGACAACAAAAAAGAGCACATAAGACTTGCCTGCGGTTTGATATTTCAACTTCTATAATGTAAGTCGGCCTAACAAAAGAATGATAAGTTACACATTTTCAGCTAGAGCCTACATCCAAAAGTCAATGGTTTTTCATAACTGACCATTAAACACTTGTACAATTCAATTAAATTCATTAAAGCAATTATATTTATTTCAGGTTTTTGGAGGAATTAATATCTACTTGGTAGGTGATATAAAACAGTTACCTCCAGTTATGAACCTCCCTATCTATTCCAAAAAACCAAGAACTGAAATTGAATCCCAAGGAGCTCATGCTTTTTCTCAGTTTCAAAAAGTTATAATTTTAACTGAATCAATGCGACAAACTGACGAAAGCTACCGGTAAGAATTATTCAATCCCATTTATCTTTTAGTTATTCGTCTTTTATTTTAAATTGAACTCTATCTTTGATATAATTGCTCAAAAACCATGGTATTGTTGGAAACAATTTAGACCCACCCATCTTTAACTTTATACTAAATAAGCTATAAATATAGATAATGAGAGCGTGTTTTACAGAATAATCTATCAGCTAATTTGATGTGTTTAGTTCAGTTTTCATTTAATAGGCTGTGATTTAGATTAATTTGGTTTCTTGCTTATTAGGTGACTTATTTACAAATATAAAATATGTTACATTGGTTAGGTTGTACCTAATCAGTTCATGTTTTTTGACAATAAGGCATAAAACTTTAAAATCAATTTTACAACCATGATATATATATATATATATATATATATATACCAGCTCACCCCTAAATAGAATAAATTATAACTGTTTCTATTAATAAATAAATAATGATATGGAAATATTGGTATTATATAGAAAAAAACATTATCAGTGCACTATGCACAAAAACATTTAAAAACTCATCATAATAGAGGACTGTAGTTTCTGTTTCCTCTAAATCGATTCAAGATATAAATAATTTATGCCTTTATTCACATGACTTTCAAGCTTGTTACAGGTTACACTTAACACACTATTTTTGTATTTTCATGTAAATTTATAATTCAAAAAATTAATTTAAATTTAATAATTAAAGTGGTTTAAATACCAGTATTGTCAACAATCCCAAGTGGTTGTCGACATTACAGGTATTTAAACCACTTTAATTGTATCTCGATAATCCGGAGGCTACCCATTCAAAAAATTAACTTAATAAATTGTAATAAAAAAACAAAAACTGTTAGCATAGTTTAATATATTGTTATTTTCCAGGAGGGCTCTGGATGAATTGAGTAAGGGAGTTTGTTCCCAAAAGAGCTTTGAACTGTTCAAAAACAGATTTAAAAATAACATTCCGAAAGAAGAATTACTCCAATTTAATGAGCCAGTTCATATTTTCACCATGAAGGCTTTAGCAAAAAAGCATAATTACGAAAGATTGCTGGGACTACATCGCCCGATTGCTAAACTGCCAGCCACTCACAACAACAACACTGCAAAGCAGGGATCGGCAGAGGACGCAAGTGGCCTTCAACCTGTGCTCTACTTGGCCCATGGAGCTAGGGTTGTGTTGAAGGCAAATTTGTGGATCAAAGCTGGACTGGTGAATGGTTCTCTTGGAACTGTTATAGACTTTGTCTACAAAGAAGACCAGGCAACACCAAACCATTTGCCAGTTGTTGTCCTTGTGAAATTTGACCAATACAAAGGACCGACTTTGGAGCAGGGCTGGTTTCCCGTTCCTCCAATTGAAAGGACCTGGACAAGTGACAGAAAACACTGCTCAAGGAAGCAGATACCTTTGAGTTTAGCCTGGGGCACCACTGTCCATTTATCACAAGGCCAAACATATGACAAGGTATGCTATCATCAAAAAATGTCAAAAATAGGTATGCTTTCCTGAAAAGGTAATTTCTTTCATAGCTTTGCTACCCTCACATTTAACATATCTAAAGAGTTGTTTCCCAAAGATTCATAGCTACAGATCATTGAGTTATATATTTAACCACAGTCAAATGAAAACGAGAAACAAATTACTTCTTAAATACTACTTTATGATTTATGTGATTTAGAACATGCTACTTTTATGGAACTGTAGTTAACTTAAACCTGGTTGAGCGGGAAACACTGTTTTACTAGGCCTATCCATGTAGATTGCCTGTCCAATTACTGACCCTAAAAAATGTGAGTAAACAAACAATAGTAGAATTATAAATTCAATAAACTTTTGTTTGTGTGTGTGTGTGAACCCTCAACATTATTTATCATTTTAGTAATTATTGAAATTAAATTACCTTTGAAACCATATTTCAACCAAACAAACTTTTGAGAACTTTTAATAATTTTTAATGGAAATAACTTATGGTACCAATCTTATAATTAAAAACTCACCTAAATTACTTTTTACAGGTGGTTGTTAATTTGGGTAATACCGAATTCCAACCAGGATTGTCGTATGTAGCTCTGTCTCGGTGCAAATCTCTTGGTGGAATGATTATTCACCCTGAATTCAATCGAAATCGCTTAGACAGCATTCAGTACAAGAAGTCCTTAAAGGTAAGATTGATAACCAAATTAAATTAAGTCATTTACTATGTCTACAAGAACTTGTCCCCCAGTAACATTGAATAATGTCATGCTTCCACAATCCAACGAAGTTAAGTACCTTGGTATGCATCTTGACAGACGGCTTACATGGCATTCACACATTTGGAACAAACGACTTCATTTAAATTTAAAAACAAACAAACTAAATTGGCTCATTGGTCGAAATTCAAAATTATCTGTTGAAAATAAATTACTTTTATACAAAATTATATTGAAACCTATTTGGACCTACGGTATCCAACTCTGGGGAACCACTTCCAACTCAAACATAGAAATAGTTCAAAGGTTTCAATCGAAAACACTGAGAAAAATTTTACAAGCACCTTGGTTTGTCACAAATAAAGTAATTCATCAAGATACGAAATTACCCTATGTTAAAGAAGAAATAAAGAAACGAAGTGAAAAATACCAAAGAAAATTAGAAACCCATCCAAATTTCCTAGCTGTTAACCTCCTCGACAATAGTGAAGCTACATATAGGCTCAAAAGAGTTAATCCAATAGACCTTCCAAATCGTTTTTAGTTAAACTTTTTAAAAGTTTTTGTATGTTAGTGCACTTGATGGAGTGTAACTAACCCATGTTAAAATGGTTATTGAATTTACTTATTATTCTCGTGTTGAATAGATTGTAAATAAATACTTGTTTAAAAAAAAAAGGTCTTTAGGCATTTAATTTTATATTTTTAGGCCTACAACAGATTCATGTAGCCTGTTTAAAGACTAACTATATGTTTTAACTACGGTAACACATCAACTTGATGATCTTGTAATTTCTTTACAGGAAAGATTGAAGGCTGAAGCAGCCTTGGTTAAATTGGCCTATTCATCCACAACCTCCATCCAAGAGCAAGTTTCACCACCGAAAATCTTCCCAAACAATGATTTAGCCCTCCAAACCAATAATTCAGACCTTCCAGCAAATGATTTTGCCCTACCTTCAACAGATCACCAGGTTTCAACAACTGTTGATGTTTTGGAGGGTACGCTGGTGGTTTTAGAAATTCCAGGAGATGGCCACTGCCTATTTTCAGCAATTCTACATCAGCTTGGTGTATCAGAACCTGGCATACCTGGACACTTGAATGCCGTTTACGAATTGCGTTCAAGAGTTGTGGAATATATCAAGGCTCAACTGATACAACCAAACCAAGGTACCACTTATAAATATTTTGCATAGAGGATATTTGTAGGGCTATTATAGTTATTTACGAAAACCTGCAATATAGGCCTACTATCAATAATGATAAATATTGATAAGCCTAGATTCATACGTAGTTCAATATTAACATTGTGTTAAAACAAATTTATCCTGCACCAAACCTGTGGAATAAGCAAATTTCCATTATACTGATTGAGATTTACATTTAAATCTATTTAAATAGCATTATGTTCAACTACCGAAGTTTGTTGCAACACACAAAATTTAAGTGTCTTTGGTAAAATAGTGTGCTTTGTATAAAATAAATAAAACCAAGTTTAGCCAAAGTACTGCAGGCCAATAAGTACCTATCCATAAACAAGTAAACTACAAAAGTTTACTTATTCTACATAAAAATAACATTGGAATTCAATAACTCAGTCAAAAAGTCTCCTTAATTAATAGCATAACCTTTAAGAGATATTCATCCAAATATAGGCCTAAGTTAACAAGTTATGCTTTAGGAATCCTTACTGTACTAACTGTACCTACTTGATTAGGCAATTTATTTTGTATGTTTCTACACCAGTGACATTTTTATCTTTTAAAAATTCCATTCTATATTCATTTATATAGGCTATAGTCTATAAAAAATGCTCGTGAAACTCAGCAAAAATGGAAAAATGGAAAAACGGAGCAAAAATTATCTAATTTTAATGAAATTTGGTCGAACAAGTAAACCTACGTTGATCAGAACGAGTTCGCGAACCAGCTTGGTGAGAAATAGGATTGTGGTTTTTTAGGGGAATTAAGGTGTAAATTGTTTTTTATGTTTGACCATCAAAACAAAACGATTTCCAAATTTCTCTCCTTAAACCATTTTAAAAAGCTAAAAAAAACTTAACTCAGGCCTAAGTTATTAAAGTGTTTTTGTATGGTTCCCTATTGGTTGTAAGAAAAATCATAACATTGAAGGCCTAACTTAATTTAAATTTATAATTGCCATGTTATTCTTATGGAGAATAAGTGAACGGTTGTAGTTTGCTTGTATTTTGGTTGTTGGATAGGCTATATTTTGGTCACACTTGGCAAATTTATTTATTTTATACTAAGTTTGGGACTAAGCTCTTAATATTTAACTAAAAAACACACTTTATTACCCTCCCTGTGTAAACTTTGCAAACCTAGGTAGCTTATACTTACTCATTTAACCTAATGTTAACTCATTAAAATAGATTTACAGTAGCCTACTTGAAAATCTAATCAGGCAAATTGAAATTCTCTTAGTCTGCAGGTTCTGCGGCAATGGTATTTAATAATGCTCCACTGGCATTCTAGCCCTGCTACTGTTAATGTAGGTTTTAAGCCTACAGTAGATATTACAGGTATTTCATATATGCTTAAGTTTATTAAGCTCCTTTTTTTCTTCGCAGAGGATACGCGTCCGGTAAATGGACGTGGATTAGGCGACCGGCAGTTACCGACATAACCTAACCTAACCAACCAAACTTGCTGATAATGAAAAAATCTAATGAAGGTTAAAGTCTGTTCATAAAATAAAATTATAAAATTATAACACTAACAATAGATGTACAGTTAAGAAGAAATGGCATTCAAAGCAAAATCTTTGACAAAAAGTTAAAGTTACCGATGGGATTCGAACCAGGGACCTCTTGCATATCAGCCGAGCACTCTATCCACTTCATTACGATCAACGATGGCTGTAGGCCTACATGTATCGTTGTGGTAATGGCATTACGGGCCCCCACAACCCGGTGACGTCATTGCCGGATGCGTATCCTCTGTGTTTTTTCTTAGGCTACTATTTTTTCAAATTACAAGAGATCACCACAGTTGGCTGAATTGAGTTTAAGTTAATGTAGATTTGTTTCATTCAACCATCTCAGTGTCTAGATGTAAAAGTTAGATGATAATTTTACATTCCTAATTATTGTAGCTTAAATTGGATGGTCAATTTTCTAAGTTAGATAGGGGAGGGGAGAAACGATAAGTGATACGATAGGGGAGAATTGTTTTTCCATATTTTTGACAATACCTATGATAAGTTATGCCTATCGCAATAAGTTACAGGAGTAGGTTACAGTTTGTTAACTGGGCTATGCTAATATTGATTGAAACTATCAAATTGAAAATATTGATTACGGTAGTAAAATAGTTGGCTGCACTTTACTTGACGTCCTACACTCATTCGATTGTTTTTCCGATTCGATATTTTCATTCGATTGTTTCATTCGATATATCGTTTGGTTAGTTAGGTTAGGTTAACCTTACCTAACTAACCTAACGATATATCGAATGAAGCAATCGATATATCAATCGATATTTTCATTCGAATGAGTGTAGGACGTCAAGTAAAGTGCAGCCAAATAGTTGATATTTTAACGAGGATAACTTAAACTTATGTCAGTTATAAAATTAAAATGTCATAGGCCTAACCTAACATAAGTAGGTAACCAAACTTGCTGATAAGGAAATAATCAAGTGAAAGTTTACTAAGCTTAATCGAATTGATACATAAGTTAGTTTCAATCAATATTAGTATATGCCTAGCCCAGTTTAGAAAATGTACCCAGATTCAGGCGCTCAACACTGTGCGTTTTTTTTTTATATAATAATTAACTTACGAAACTTATCGTATCGCTGTATCAGGACACGTCCATATCGCTCATCACTAAGTTAGGTTCCGGTACGGTAACTTAACTTCATGGTCTAAGCTATTATGAAACCAATAAGTTACCAGACCTAATCTTATCATTATTTTGTTTCATAGGTTAGAGTATAGGCTATTTATGTTTTTAAGATAAGTAAGGTATTTTATACACAGAGGATACGCGTCCGGTAACCAGACGTGGATTAGGCGTCCGGTAGTGACGTCACCGGCTTGTGGGGTCCCCAAACGCCATTACCACAACGATACGATGTTCGGCCAGCGTTGTTCGTGGTGTAGGTTAGTGGATAGAGTGCTCGGCTGATATCCAAGAGGTCCCTGGTTCGAAACCCATCGGTTTCTTGAACTTTTTGTCACAGATTTTGCTTTGAATGTAATTTCTTCTTAACTGGTACATCTTTTGTTACAATTTTTGACATTTATAATTGTATTTTATGAAGAGAATTGAACCTTCATCTGCCTTTTTTCACTATCAGCAAGTTTGGTTGGTTAGGTTAGGTTATGACAGTAACTGCCGGACACCTAATCCACGTCCTGTTACCGGACACGTATCCTCTGTGTATTTTATAACTTGTTAAAGCCTTAGGTCTAGACATTTAAGTTATTCTTAATAATGTGATGATAAAGTTTTATAACATAGGCCTAGCCTACTTACCTTTTTTACATACCTGAGGTTAGTTTCCCGTTTTGAAAAATCCCTGCATTGTTTGAAGGTGATGCAGGGTAGCCTTGAGAGGTAACGTTATTGTAACCGGGAATGACATAAAATGTCCTGGATTAATTACAACTGTAAATAACTGATCACAACACTGAGATCTTGATGTTACCATCACCCTTCCCTTAGTCCTTAACTTTCTTTTTAAAAATATCGTGACATTTAGTCCAGCGAGACGATACTCCTCGGACAGGACCGTTATAGGACCAGGTCCTCTCCTCTTCAGCCTTGAAAATTATACTTTGATTAGATGTGCCTGAGCAGGAGGGGAGGTGGCACGAATCGAACCCATCACCCATCCCTTCCAATTGTTGGTTTGTTGGTTACCGCAAAACGGCCAGCAATAGATTTTTTATAGCTCGCACACTATTTATTTATTCCTGAGTTATTGCCAGGTTTACACAAGCACACAAGTTCTCTTCCATACTTAAGTCCGGAACGCTATCACTACTTCACTAGGCTAGCTGGCTAGCAACGAACAAAAATTGTCTTCTCCTTTTTTTATTCTAAGTTCTAACTGAACAACTAAACTCAAAATTAAAAAACCTAACCCTACATAACTTAGTAAGTGCGAAAGGTACGATCCTTGATCCTTCCCACTCCCAGTCACCCAGTCCCAAAAGCTAATGCTAACTTAAACAAAACTACCTAACCTGAACCTCATTCATTACGTTTCTTTTTCTTATCTTCTTTCTTCTTTCCTACCCTGACTGAAAAATCTGGTTTAATTCTTTGCTAAATAGAGTAGGCTTGATTATATGCCATGAGACTTAAAAAACATCAACATACAGCCGCTGTCAACTCGTATTTTTAGTAATAGAAAAATGGGAAATATCTTGCAATCCAATTAAGAGTATGTTTGGCTATAAAACAAAACTTAACTATGGTACATGGGATCGATCAATATTAATATTATTATATCAATCCTGTTACCTCAGTAGAGAATGCTAATTTATAGTAGAAGCAATATTTACAAGTTATCAATAGAATTTGATCCTATAAAAAATGATATACAAATAATGAATTGGAATGGAATCTATGTAATAAAAGAAATGTTTTCATCGTGGTATGTACTAACACAAAGTTGTAGAAAATATGAATATGATTTATTGAGTACTGGTAACTGTAAAGCTGTCAGCTAACTTTACAATAAACAAATTAATATTAATAGCACCAATGGTAAGATGAGATATTGAACTCAAACATTGAAGTAAAACACAAAATTGTATACTTCTATTAGAAAAATGTGCCTTTAAGCAGGTATTATGCTAAGAAAGTCATAAGTAATTAATTAGTTAGTAGCCTAAAGAATGAGTTATATACTTTATGAACCGAATATTAATTACAGAAATATGGGAGTGGACCATAAAAGAGGCCATTGACGCTCAACCAACGAAATATCTAGATGAGGTAATTATAATTGATACAATTTTTTTCTTAGAATGTTATTTTTCAATTACATATTAAGTAAGACAAGTAAAAGAAGAACATTACTAAGCTGATATTTTTTTAGTATGGAAATTTTGTAATTTACTTTAAAATTTGATTATTTTAAAGAAATATTAACTTATAAGAATTTATATCTAATGATTCAAGATAGTTAAATGATTAGTTGACTTAAGAACATGTTTTTAGTCAACTATATAGCTACATTGGGCTTTATAGCTCTGGTAGAAAACAAACTGCAAAATCATCTATATGGAATGATTGCATTTTCAACTACAGTATATTTATATTGCCAGCCTCTTTTGCACTACCTCTGCTTAATTGTCTTTATTACACTAAGAAAATGTTTAACTGTCTTAAAGAACAGGTTTGGACTTGAATAATATCTTGTTTCACACCTAATTTATACTATTATGGTATTGATGGATTTATAATGAAATGTGCTCAATGTTGTAGTCTGTCTATTTTTAAAATCAGTTATCAATGTCTACTTTCTATATACGGTATATTAATATTATGATTAATGTGTAGTTTTACACCGGAAAATACTAATTACAGTAAAGTAGACATTTTGGAATTGTTTACGGTCTGTATGCATAATGTATTATGCTTTTGTAAAACTTGTATTCATTTTCTTCATGAGCAAGAGCAACCATGTATAAAAGTTGTTTAAGGTGTACAATTTAAAAAAAAATCGTTAGGAATATTGCAAGTGTATGAAATCAAATAAAAAAATCTAATTTATGTTGATATTTTGCATCCTAATGACCAAATTAGTTACATGCATCATATGTGACCTTCTTACTTTTTTCAGATTGACGGAGACTTGGTTCCATTTACAAAAAATATGGAAATGTTTTTGGAAAATTTACGAAGTAAAGATGAATGGGGTGGACATGAAACTATCGTGTCTGTCTGTGCAATCAACGATGTGTCCATACATGTTTACTTCGAAAGAAGTAATGACAATTTCCAAATGCAAGTATTTGGAACACCAGGGAAAAAAACTCTTCAAATAGTGCATCGCTTGTCAAAAGATGAACAAAGTGCTCAAAAGAGAAATCACTATGACAGCGTTCTTCAAGTTTTCCCTCATTGAGAAAGCTGTTTGGCCCCAATGTACTATTTTATATACCGTTTTATACTAAGTTATACTATTTTACAAAATTATACTATATTATACTACTTTTATATACTACACAAATAATTTGAATAATTTAAAGAATTATTTAGCAATTAATTTGTTTTTTTTTTATATTTATAGTGCTTGAAAATTTAGTTTATGTTTGTCATTAGTTTAATTGTTATTAGAACATTCTTTATCATTCCACGTATCATTTTTTGATTTAGCAATGTAAACATAGTGCATATATATCCATATGCCAGTAAAGAAAGTGAGTTAATATGTATTTCAATCAATTATCAATTATTTAAAGAAGGGAACGCCACTATGTGCATATTTAAACCCAAATATGAGAGAAGAATGAGTAACGCGATCTTGTAGTCTTGTTAGTGACTAAGGCCGACATATTCCTTAGACACAGCTGTTAATTAATAGCCCAAACGACTTATGGCAACTAAGGGACCTACGGTTTATAATGGAATCCAAACCACATAACCTTGGTATTAACAAATTGGTCTAATTATGAGGATAGAACTGAGGTTAATCGTAGTACTCGTTAATAGTAGTAGTAGTCGTAGTAGTCGTCACAACAGGGAATATCCCTTACACACTGCATCTTTATAATAATCCACAACTCGTTTTACTACTGCAAAGAAATACCTATTGGTTTGAATCAAAACACTAAAATATGAGTCACGTAACTTTGAACTAAGTTAAACAGTTTTGCAAATCAGAAATATATAATGGTCATTATACAATGGATTAATAACAAAATAGAAATATAAAGCATTGACATACAACTGGCAAACATTTAGAAAAAAGACATTTAGAGAAAAAAAAATATTTAAGACCATCTACAAATATTGCAGCTAAGAAATGCCTCTATTTAATGAAATACATCGAGATTGAGCATGACAAGAGTTTTGAACTTTTAGAGGTAACATACCGGTACTCAATTATGTGTAATGATACCTAAGCTACAAAAAAAATTTATGTAGAAAATCGAACGGTCAGTTTAGCCAAAGATAAATCATACTCCTTTTAGGTTTAGCCTACCTTGCTATCCAGAATTAAACCCAACAAGTTGACTGATCGACAGCGAAAGTATAAGTTAGTTTTGTTTCTTAAGGTGAAAACTGTTTTAAATGTCTTGTTTTCGTGGAAATAAAGAGATTTCCCTCAAACGAGAAGTTAGCACATTGTATCGATATATTTAGTTTAGTCATGAATGATTTTCGACATCAGAGTCTAGAATACAAGGTACATTTACGTAGAAATCATTTACAAAACAACAGGAATCATAAGAAACCTAATACATAACGAACAACAATAAATATAGACATTTTAACTTCACCAATTGTGTCCTATTAGATAACTGTAGGCCGTATATAAGGTTCAATATTTTTTACTTATACTTATAACATTATTAACATTCCAAATTCTTCCAGAAACGCTAATATTGAATGTTACATTATGTCAAAAGCGTTCTTAAATTTTATTTAATACAAAATATAACTATATTATTATTTTCTAAAGTAATTTCTACAATAACATCTACAGCAGTTAGTTCTATTTCTATATAACCCCACTTATATCTTGTTAGACTATACCTTTGATTATATACACAAATTGTATATATTTAATTCCTTTGCCAATTTAATCATTTATTAAATTTTAAACAAAATTAATATGAACATGCATATTTTATTAATACTCTTATTATAAGTGTCCTTCCCCAATAGCCATTGTCACGAAGGGCCTCCTTGTATTATAAAAACTTGTATTAATTTGATTTAACATAGTGCTTACATGAAATCGTAACTAGACCTACTTGGAAAGTTAGTCCGTTAGGAAAAATACAATTACAATTGCATTTGTCTTCGTTCATTCTTATACGGGACTTTGGAGCGTACTCCTAGTTACCTTTACCATACTAATTTACTCTTCACGTACATCAATCTACAGGAATTTCTAAAACTAACTATTTGAAGTAAAGTCAGAAGTCTAACTTTGCTATGATATGCGTTGTATTTTGAGTGACAGCATACACTAATCTCTAAAAAACTAATATCTAAATTAACACTACTCAAAACACGATTAAATCAAACCTATCATCTAGCATATGGGTACGAGGTTTACAATTCAAATCAGCGTTTAGCATTACGTAAAAAATGACCGGCTATGCTAGTCAGCGGAATTAATGATAACGATATAATGACCAGGCAGTAATGTAGGCCTAATGACGTTTATATGTGATTGCCTTCCTCAAGGTCGGCGACTCGCGAATAGTCGACGAAGCCATGTTTTGTGCGGTTATCCTGCATTACACGTGCTTGAGGTAATGGCAATTTTTGGGAATATGATGGCTATTCATTGGGGGTGGTCATTTATTTAAATCATTTGACATTTTTAATTGTACATAGACTTTATTAAGCAAATTGAATTTAGTTGATTTACTCGTCAATTGCACTGTTGCATCTTACAGTGCACGCCCTTTCTGTATTAGAATTTTTATTCACAAGATTATTTCACAGTTAAATTCAACACTATGGATAGAAAATATTTAGCAGACAAACCATGTTAAGGACAACTATCTGCTATGCTATCAAACAGTTGAATTACATTATAATTCCACCGGATTCTGTATCCAGGCCTACTCAGATATAGAAGAAGGTAAGGTCCCTGTTGGTACTACCCCCTTCTCGTACCCTACACAATCATGACCGCGTTAGATCGAAACATAAAAAAATAACTTACAAATTTAAATAATTTTTTGACTAATATTATAATTTTCCCCTTGATAATTAGGAAGTTTTTTTTAAGATAATCTCTTCTTTCCGTAAAGGTCCCATTTGGCAGAGAGTTAATTTTTGTTGTTCCTATGGACGTGTTCCTGAAGTTTCCGAAGTAAATTAAGTCACTGGGGTGGTTCTACAGCTTCAGCTGGGGTAACCAGATTTTGGCAAATAAAACGCTCAAAGTACCTAAGACAATCTTTCAGCCTCAGAAGGTACAAGGAATCCGACACCCAGTATAGAGACCCGGTTTTGAATGGCGACTGCGGTGTGCGGTCCTTAGTCAGAAACCGG